AATGATTTATACTATTCATCAAGTCAGTCACCCCGAAGTTGGGTTATTTCCCCCTTCAAAAAACTCCCCGATATAAATCACTTTTTAAAAATCCTCGCCTTTAGGGAGAAAAAAGAGAGGGGAGCTTGAGAGGGGGGGACCCACATTGTTGCTTGGGAGAATCCGATATTTTTGGTGCAATCACAGCAGCGAGATAATTCGGTTTAATTAAAAGAATCCTCTTTGCTCCTCCTCTACCCAAAACCAAGGGGGAATTAATTCAACAAGTCCTGCGAAACCCACCCCACCGTCTTAAAATTATTTTTGACAAATAATAAAAGCCTAACTCAGGCATTCCAGAGTCTTCTGCCCTACGAATCTGGTTGAAACCAGCCACCGCAGTATTTATGATTCTCCATAATCACCCAACTTTAGATTCCCAAACCGCGAACCTTCTCTTCCCCCTAGATTAAAAATGTCCCACTACACATTTACTCGTTACCTTATCCTGAAAGCATTTAATATTTAACTTTTTAGCCCTTGAGAGGATTTCAAAACGATTTGTATTATTTTGTTTTTAAAATTTGTGTTCCTTAATCCACTTCACATAAGCTTTTTTGGGGGGGAGTGGATTTATTCTGGAACAAGAGATTTAAAAGAGAAAATAATATTTTATTTGTAATTCTGAGACTACCTAGAGATGTGAATGCATTTTGGCAGTCTTATAAAAACCAATATTATCCTTAGTTTCATTTTCAGTTACTGGGTTATTAAGGAATATTCTTACATACTTTCGACACGCAGAATTGCTTGCTAGTGAAATTAGCGAAAAATTACTCTTCGATACTATACAAGACATACCTAATTCGAGAATCCTCTTTTGGATTCTTCGTCAGATTTCAGTTAAAATGTTAAGATTTCTAGAATTTACCGAGGGAAAAATGGGTGGTAGACGGAAGCACAATATTTTAAATCTGTTTTCTCCCTCAACTATTTATTTTAAATGACATGAAATCATTCCCTAACGTGTGTGTGTGTATATATATATGTTATCCAAGCTGTCTAAAGAGCATTGGTTTCGAGATCAAGTCAAAAATACTCATGCATTCCGTGTTTTCGAGAGAAAGCCAATTCTCACAATATCTGAAATGAATTGTAATTATTTCCACCTCTTTAACCTACACAATTTAAAAATGGAATGCACTGTCCAGAAAATACATTTAACACGAAGTTTTCTTACCAGCTTAGTTTCTTATTTTGACCTGGTTTTAGTTACTATATTCCACCAGCTTTATTAAGAAGTGTCTCTTCTGGTCACCAGATTAAACATTTACTTAAAAAAAACCCCCACAATATTGGATAACCTTAGCAACATGCTTTCCATTTTAAGCCGAGGGTGCTGCTGCATTTAAAAAAGCCCACCTCTTACTCGTTTATTTTACAGTGGAATGAAATAACATCAGGACAAAATGGACAAGTTCAGCCGACCCTTCTGATTATAGGTTTTTTTTGGAGGTGGTGCGTGTGTTAATTTATCTGCCTTCATTCAAATGTTTGTTTCAAAATCTCCTTATTTTTCCTTCCTCTTTAAAGCATTTAAAATGGCTGTTAAAAAAGCCCACCTCTTACTCGTTTATTTTACAGTGGAATGAAATAACATCAGGACAAAATGGACAAGTTCAGCCGACCCTTCTGATTATAGGTTTTTTTTGGAGGTGGTGCGTGTGTTAATTTATCTGCCTTCATTCAAATGTTTGTTTCAAAATCTCCTTATTTTTCCTTCCTCTTTAAAGCATTTAAAATGGCTGCATTGCTTGTCTCTTCCCCCCTCCCAAAGCCTGTATCAGCAAAGGAGTTGGGGAGTCGCTTTGGAAACCTTATTTTTTATTTTTTTTTCTCCCTCCTCTGTGTGTGTATCGGGGGCGGGGGTATGGGAATAAGCGGGGGGAGGGGGTAAAGTGGTGAAATCAAAACCAACTAAGCTACGGAAAGGTTTTCGGAGGGAGCGCGGCTCCTCTAGCAAAGCCAGTCACCAAAAATGCAAACAAAAACTAGTTCACTTGCAGCAAAAATAAACGGGGAAAATTCTACCTTTCTAAACCCTGAAGAATCCGCTTTTCTTCTCTAGGCAACTCTCTGGTTTCTCTGCTCGCCACCCGTCTCAGAAATTAGATCCAAGCAAATACAGTACTTTTTGCCCGTCTTGCCTTTTTTTGGTATAAAAATGTTCTTTTAGTCCATAAGTCGGGCTCACCCTCTCCTCCACCCTGAAAGAAAAAGGAGCGCAAGCCACGATCACTCTGCTTTCCTTTAAAATCCAGCTTTCCTGCTCCAAAGGTCTCTGCTTTTTAATAAAATCCAGGTAGCGCTGGTTTAGAGAATGCCGAATCTCCATATACAGCCCGGGATTGGAAAAGGTACATTACACAAACCCCCTTTCAAGTTCCTCTCGCTGAATCTTTAAAAAAAAACTCTTTAGCAATGAAACAAGCATTGTTCCTCCCGTTCCACCCCTCTCCAAGCTGGCCAGCCAAAATTTCATAGTAAGTCTCCCATTGGCTGCTCGCACTGCCACTCACTCTCATGTAAACATTTTGGCCCTCAGCCATTCCTATAAAACCAATTATGGACCAAGAACTCGACCGGTTTCTAGGCTCCCCTAACAGGGCTGAATGATCAAAACTGGTGGTGAGAATTTTTAGAGGCCGTTTCAAGGCTTCCCCCGCACCCTCCTCCTTTCCCCAGTCTGGGCTGACTGATCAAAATAGAAGGTGGTTGTAACTGCATTTCGGGTCTTTTCATTACGCTCTATTTAGTGAAAATGCTGCATTGAGTGAACGTTCCCCCTCTTTCTATGGAACAGGGCGATGGGGGGGGAGGTTTGGTTGAAAAATAAGCTTGCAGCACCCAGGACAAATAATGCATGGGGAGGGGGGTAATTCGTCCTCCTTTCTGCAGTTACTGGTCGGCGCTTTGCTCAGATCTACTGGGACATATTTTCCAATTTGTTTTTTTTAAACCTCTCTTTAGAGTAGGATTTTTATTATACTTTCAGACCGCTTGAATTGAGTCCCAAAAAGGCTGGGAGAAAAGGGGACAAAGCAGGCTCTTGGGGACCACTGGGGGGGGGGAGCTTAAAAAAATCCTTCACTAGACCTTAATGGAAGGCAGCTAATCTTTAATATTTTCGAGAGGCTGTCGCCCGCCGGTGAGTGTGTGTATAACCTTTTCAACAGAGGTTCCTATAGAAACGTGGTATAGGTGATAAGAGCAAACTGCAGCACTCTTCGTTAAAATAATCCCAGAATAAATGCACGTTAGGCGAGAGTAAACAGTCCCTTTATATAGCCCCTTTAAAGGCAAACAAACCCAACCCCCACCCTCCAAAAAATCCGAACTGAAAACACGATTAGAAAGCAATGATCTGTGGTCCAAAAAAATCCCCAGTGACATTTCAGTTCATTTGCATTTCACTGTAGGGCTCCTACGAGACCCTTTTCCCTGCCCCCTCCCCGTTTTAATAAATGTTGTTGGCTTTGCTTTTTCCACCTTGTGTTAAGTTTCAAAGGCGATACTGCCGCCACCTCCCTCCCTCTCCTCCCCCCCCCCCCCCGCGAAATCTGCTTAGGTGGGAAAAACCAGCGTTGTGCAGAGAACTGCTATGCTATAAAAGCTGCCCTAGCTGGAGGAGAAAGGGAGGGGGACGAGAGAGAACCAAACGACTTTGTATTTGATTTTACAATGCCTCTTTCAGCATAATCCGTTTTCACACTGCGTTGTTGGTCTGTGGTTGTTTTCCTCGCCTAGGAAGATGAACAGACTTTGTTTTTAGAGAGAGAGAGACGCCCCATGTAAACGGAGACCCTATCTGCAAATGCCTTCCTCAAGGGGAAAAAAAAGCGTTTAAAACTATTTTTAACAGCAAGCCTTATTGTAACCTCCAAATGCGATCTGGAAGGCTCTGATACTGCAATGGTTAACCAAGGCTGCGAATTGGCGAGGGACTCTGTACACAGCTTTGTTACCCCAGTTTTGGATTAACTGCTCTACGGTTTAGGTTTTTGTTTATTTTTTTTAAAAAAAGCCTTCATTTTAGGCGTCTAAGTCCTCTTTTCCCCCAGCCAAGCAATCAGAAACTCTTCTCCCCCCCACACACACCTTGGGTATTTAAGGGGGGGAGGAGAAATCGAATTTAATTCTAGTATAAATTAAAAAAAAAAAAAAAAAAAACCCCCCGAGCCAGCAGGATAGTTTCAAGTTGCCCATAGCTAAACTGTACTGGCTGGTTTCTAGGCTGCCCTCTTTTGGAAACAGAGGAGCAGGGAGAGAAGCGAGGAAAGGAAAGGAAGCTCTCCCCTCCCCCAAAACCTAAAATAGTAATGAGCCAAGAGGAAAAAGCGCTTCTGTACGATAAAGCAAAGAAGATCTCATCCAAATATCACCCCGGCTTCTTCTGAAACCCCCGTGAAAAGGGGAAAATGGCAAATTTCAGCGGGACTCCTCACCAGTGGAGTGATCCCAAATTAGCCAAAGGATCAACAAGAAGAAAGGGGGAGAAAGGGCGAGAGAGAGAGAGGCCTGGTGGGAGGGGGGGGGAGAGGATAGGATTGCAAAGGAAATTAATGCAAGTCCATGGCTGATGGCTGCCTGCGCAGAATGCTGAGAGATTTTGAATGATCACTGAAGCAGCAATGAGTGACAGTTTCCCTCTAAGTTTACGCTTTAAAAAAAATATACCGCTTTATTCCTCGAAAAGCTTGCAAATTCTAAATGCACTTGATTTAAAAAAGTCCATCGTTCATAAATACCCTAACGATTCAGGCAAGAGCTCTCCACGCCATTCTCTTTGGACTTCTCCACTCCTGGATTGGGAAGGTTTCGTTTTCGTTCTCCTTTAGCAGACCAAAGGTTTTTGTTTTTTTTTTAATGGTTTTTACGTGGCTTTGAAAGCATATTGTATAAATGTTTAATGTTTTCACACCCGGATCCTACAAGACGCTGTAATTGTGCTGGTGGGGTATGTATGCAATAAATCATTTAGTTGCTAATAAAAAATTCTGCCTATTTGTCGTTAAGTTTGCCAGTGGCGCTTGCATTTTTTCAAGTGTGTTTCTCATCAGTTGAGAAGGGAATCTGCATTTCATTAAAGCTGCAATTTCTCTGTTGATCAATCTTCCTTCCTCCCCCCCACCCCGCTTTGTCAACCACCCAAAACCCCAAAAGCTTTACGTTGGGAAAATGTACTAGGTCAGCTCTCAATGCAAGCGGAACCTTGCAGCTATTTTTAATAGCATTTTATGTAATCAAATGGTTATCTAGACGAGGCTTTCGAGATGTTATGGAGGAAAAAAATGCGAGGCAAATCCCATAACACGGGCTGCCTTCCGCTGTAAACAATACCGGGTGGGTTGTTTTTCCTTCCCCCTCGGAAAAAAACAACACTAAATATCTAGCTCTACATCGCCAACTGCAGTCTTAGTCTGTAGCAAATATTTAATTGCCTTGATCTTTGCCACTGATAACAAAATCTTGGATTTTCCCCCCATCCTCTGTTTGGTGCAGTCTGACTGATCGGTACCAGCTGGGAGCCATCTTGTAGGCTGGGTGGAGTAGCAAAGGGGGAAAACAACATTTCTTAAGCCTGCTATTCTTTTCTGTGAAACTTTTCTCCTCCCCCTCCAAAGTATATGAGACTAGCCAGGTTAGTAAGTAACCCCTTTAAATAAAGTTGGAGTGAAGATTCCAAACATTTTCCTGGTCACCACGGTTTTACCAGTGACCTTTAGTTTTCCTTTACCGTCTTGTGTGTCCGTGACCCGTTTTCCAGCCCCACTATCTAAACCCAAACCCCAGAAATCCATTATTCGGACTAAGCGGAGGGAGCCATTTTTCTCCTGCCCCCTTTCGGTTTCTTTCAAACCATAAACACGATGCCTGTTTTTCTCCTGCTTTCAGATCTACGCAACCCACCAAACCAAACATGAACCCTCTTCTCCCATCTCTTTTCGGGTTTGAGTTTTGTTATTTCCAGCTTGCTGGGTTTTTTTTTCTTCCTGAGCGGAGTGTGCATAGAAGAAACTCAACAGAGCTCATTGACTCAATTTCTTTTCAGAGTCACAGTGCCCTTCGAACAAGCCGATCTGATCTGTATTTGTATTTTGCAAAATACATTGAACTGAATTAAAGCGCATTAGGGATTTTCCCCCTCTCTTCATTGTTCTAGTCGGCGTTAATTAGATTAGACTTTCTTTTGTTTTGATATTGTTTGTTCTATACAGTGGAAATCTCAGGTTGCTTTTTGAGGCACTGTACAATAAACACACAATTATTCCCAGCTGGGTTGACAAAATACTTTTTCTTATCAAAGGACACTCCAACCTTGAAGCGGTCTTTCCACTGTTTTCCCACAAAAGCCAAAGCCGTTTGCCTTCAGAGGCACCTCCTTTGTGTTCGTTTCCCTCTCCAGGTCCTGGGCTATGATACTGATCTTTAGCTGCCTCTTTGGAGCTATTTTAATCAGCTTTTATGAAAGAATTCCTAGCAGAAACCTAATCGCTTAGCCCAGGTGTAAATACAAATTTGAAGACCAGCGCCGGTTTTAATACTATCCTTTGTAGTTTATCTATAGGTAGGAGGACGGGTATCTTGTGTGTATCAATCCCTGACTGCAATACATTCACACTCACCTCAAGAACACAATAGTAGCTTGTTTCAGGTGGAAAAGAACCCCTTCCCCTTGCTTTTTTCTGAACTGTAGTTTAATGTTGAGCTAAAAAACCAGCGGGATACCAGCAACAGCCAGCCTAGCTCTTCAGAAACTTGTTTTCTTTTTGATACTTTTAGAACTATTTACTCATTTTATTTTAGTGATTCATAGTCATAAAAGGCCTTTGAAAAAAAGAGTAGCACTTCATGTACAAACCTTACAGTGTACCAAAGGCTTGTAAGTGAAAGCGTTGGGCTGCTGCTTTTTAAAAAAATGATAAAGCTTTCTTTCATCTAGAAGATCAAAGGCTCCCCCCCTTGTTTTTTTGCTTGTAAGGTTGAGAATTTGAACCCCAGCGCTAGTTACAATGATTTTAGGCTTATTCTTATAGACCTCTTTTCCCCCACTGTGGTCCTGGTCATTTGCTCACAAATATA